TTTTAGCACCCAGGTAGTTTATGGGAAACACCTTTAAATGTTGCAAATCTCACTTCAAAAAAGTGGGTAAAACTCATAAATCTCACTCTCGCAAGATCCCTCTTAAAATGTTTTGAAAGGAGCCCCCATTCTGGCCATATCTGAGCCAGGCGTGGAGTCGCTATCCTTACTAAGTCATAATAAATAATTGGTAAATAAGCGATAATAAAAATCATAAATAAAATTTGCTTACATTAAGCGCCCTCGGCTACTCTACCAGCAGCTCGCCGAAATACTTCCAACATTTACAGCCAATATGGGTAATACTAGGCAAAATATTCTCCTAGGGGGCCCACGATGTTTAAATGAGATAATCCTCCCCTACACATACACGCCACTCTACTCGGCAAGAACTGGCGCACCCTAGTATAACCCACTACAATACACCACACTCATACATCACCACACGGGACAACTCAACACACCACAGCATCGCGCCCTTCAGCAAACAAACAGAATGGTCTCCGCAGCAGATACACCTCATTCGAAGTAATAGCGATCCAGCGCGCACCTCATTCGCTTACCATCTACGGGCCTGAGCGCCACATCAACTTCCCGCTTTTTAGCATTTCGACTCGCTAGCGATTAGATCATCGAGCACCCGCCTAAATCGACTCTTTTTTTTTTAAATAATTTTGCCAACGGTGAGTGCAGTTAAAATTAACTTATTAATTAGTCACTGAGAAACTTTCGATTGTCCCAATTTCATCATGTAGAGCAGTATCATCAGCTGGGTGGTATTTGTCCTTTACATACTTTTCAGGAAAAAAGTATGCTCTAAAGTGACTTGACAATCCGATACCACTCTTCCATCTGCGATGGCATTTCTACTCTTCTCATCGCGCCCGGTATTCGAAGTCGGGTCACGGCACGGGAGCAACCCTCCGAAGGAGAAATTGTGACGACGTGGCGTTTACTGAACTATACGGTGGAGGACAGCAAATGAGCCCTACCAACTCCAGATTCGAAGAATAAATAAAAGTCTGGGTCTATGCCCATCACTATGCCATCCATCTAGCGTGCTATCACGATGGAATATCTACCACAAACTCGCCCTCTATTCAACGTTCTGTTTGGAAAGCATCTTTTTGGTTGACTCCTTGGATATTACAGCCACCCTGCCCCAAACGAATATGTACCTCTTAAGCATTCTAGGGACCTCCTCGTCACGCACAAGACGTAGCTTGGAACGACGTCGACCATCAACTATTAAGGTTTGCAACTTCATGCAGTTGAATTGAAGTTAAGGAGATTTTACTTCAGATCAATTACACTCGTTTTGACATTACGAAGAAAGATTTGACAGATAATTAAGCATTTATTGATTTATATTACGATGACGGAATAGTGATACTACCAAGGACTTTCTCATCACGGTTTGTCATCATCCATGTTTCTGTGTCCAACCCTTTCACTTCTACTGTCAGGAGCATTGTATTTTTAGATTACACAGCGACATAGCGGTTCAAATTAATGACACGTACATGTATTACTTTTTCCAGCACTATGTTTAAGAAGTCTCACGAGTACGGTGTTGTAACGTCATTCTGCATAATCGTATGAGTTTTGTAGATATACCAAACTTAGACATGGTGTCGAATAGGCAGTTCCTGTCAATGCGGTTAAAAGCGACTTTGAACTCGGTAAAAAGGTAATGGATGTCGATCTTTTTGTCAAGGGCCTTCTCCAGGATTTTATCTTTTGTGAAAATCTGGTCTATAGTGGATTTGTCAGGTCTTAAGCCATTTAATTTCGATAAGTGTTCCCTTCAAACTTCTAATGTACTCTGGCTGTTTGGTATAAGGTTTCCATTCCTTTACATAAGTCCCGGGTTTGAAACCATTTGTTTGCTGCTTTAACTTCTGATCAAATTTTCGGGGCGAACTCCCGGTAGCCAGCATATCAAGCTTTTCGCTACACGCCTTTCTGCCTCTCTCTTCGAGAATTGCTTTTCGGTATCGTCGCCCTTTTCTTCTATCGGGGCGTGTGCATAAATTAGGCTTATGTGATCAAATTGAGCCTTGCGTATTTAAAAATAAATAAAATTTAAAAATATTCTCCGAAACTTTGAAATTTATCTGGCAAATATTTTCGGATATATGAGCGTATTTGTAAAAACTTTTTAATTTAGTGTAATCGCCTCTTAAAACTTTAAACCCGTTTTTTCGAAACGCTGTTTAAAAATCCGACGAGGAAAACTTCCCAGAAATGACTTTCACAGAAACTTCAGGAATAAAATGTTTGAGAATAATTTCGATTTTTTAGTCTACTCTGAAAAATAAATTATTTTTCTTACCATCTATCACGTATTTTGGATTTCTGATTTCAGATATTTTTAAGTAGAAAAAAACTTCCGCGCCCCCAGACACCTTTTTTCGGCGGTCTTGCTGCAGATCCGTTACGGGAACAAAAGCATCCAAAATTTTTCAGGATAAAACCGCCGCTTATTAAAGCACATTAAATTCTGTAAATGTACTTTTTGTATTTATTTATTAAAAAAATGTCTCTTCAAATAAGTACAACACAATATGGATAAATATATTAGATGTATTAAAACTCCAAAACTCATAAAATGGCATAGACAACTGCTCAAGATCAGTTTCCTGATTAACCATTTCTACATACTGTAACAAGGATTTATAGTTATTAATAATATCTGTGATAACATATTAAGACGAAAATAGTATTTGGAGATAATTAACGATTTTGAGTAAAATCATCAGTTTTAGAAAATACTTTTAACCTAATAAAAAGTTGCCCCATTTGTAAAGATAAATTAGGCAAATGAAAAAAGATTATTTATTGTAAGTTATGTTGGTTATTTTGTATTAGACTTAGATTTTGTTACGAAAGAAAAACGAGAGTTTTTAAATTTTTAAGTGGACATAAGAGCTTCTGTTAAAATTGAAACAAGTAAATAATACCTCTATTTAGGAGATATAGGAATGTGTTAAATCTTTTACTTTAACATTAATGATTCCTCGATTAATGTATTATTAATGCATTTGAAAGGATCGTCTGTACTTAAAGATGATACCATATCCCTTAGTAAAACGGAACTATTTAATATTATGTCAACTGAATTTGAACTACTACTACTATTCCCAAGTAAATACATTTATCGATGAGAGTGCAAAATCTACAATATCTGATTGACTCGCACAACCGGTATGAAATTAGCGTTTTTTTTTTAAATATAAATACTAGTTTTGAATGGGAAAGTAAAAAAAAATTAGTCAAAGTATTGACCATTGGCAATTTGTGGGTACCATGCCAATAGAAATGTTCGTCTTTTGAAGCAAACCAATCAGAAACTTAATTTTCGACTTCTGCGTAGGAATTGAAATGCTGCTAAGCCAATGCGTGTCCCATTGATAAAAAAAAACTCCTAGTAATCGGAAGGGGCCAAGTCTGGTGAATATGGCGGATGGGATAGCAGCTCCCAGCCAAGTTCTTTGATTGTATCCTGAAACGATTTTGCTTTGTATGCAGGTGCATTTTCATGTAACAAAATTACTTTGCCGTGTCTTCTGTAGCGATTAGTAATAACAGTTTCCCCGGTTTTAGAATCTCATGATATTCCACACCCTTCTCATCCCACCAAATACAGAGCATTGCCTTCTTACCGAATCGATCTGTTTTTGCAGTCGAGAATTTTCACTGTTTAGGATTCTGAAAATAAATCTATTTTTAATCGCCAGTGATAATTCGATGCAAAACTAATTTTCTTTCGTGTCTTTGAAGCAAAATTTCTCAAGTGTTTGTTTTTGACTCAAAGTATCATCTTCATCCAATGTTGCTTACAGTTCGGTGTCTTCAAACTTTTTTGGTCACCGTCCACGTTCTTCATTTCTCCCGTCACAAGTTATTCGCTAAACCGTTCCATCTTTTGCATGTTGCTTCTGATAGAGCATGCTTCTGACTGTGAGGCTCCTTTTACTTTATTCACACGCTTCCTCTTCTCCAACTGTGAGGATACCTGTGCTGATATACGTGCATTTTGTGCTGCGAACTCTTAAAATTTTGTCGACATTTGCGTTGACATTCGCGATATTGCAGCAAAAACCATGTTCATGTCCACAACCTTTGACGAGCATTGAGCCCCTTCTTTTGCTTCTATCTTCGTAGTCTCTTCCTCCAACTCCAACTGAAACACATACTCGTCAACATCAATGTTTTCCGCTTCCATGGCCTCCCGCAAACGTGATTGCAATTCCGACTTTACTCCATTTGTCACCGAACCACGTTTTTTCTACTCCTTTTTCAGTTGTGGAATCTTCAAATCGTCAAACTCTGCCATTTTAAAATAATTCCCTCTTTCGGATTTCTCGATAAATCGTTTACCTTGTAACTCACTCTTGAGTTCGATAATTGGATTGTTAAATTCAAGTCCCAATTTAATGCTATACATTTATCTTTTTTTCTTTCTTTAACAAAACTTTGCCTCAAGAGCATTCTGGCAACTAGGAATTAACTGTCTAGTTGCTTCTGGCAATTTATCGTTGATTCGATTTTATTATATCATTCATGTTCGTCACAATATATAGTCATAGATATACATATTATTACCAAAGCCGACTGATTGGCGCTTATCACACGTTCAATATTTAATGTGATATTTGGATCGTGATCACAATTGATGATTGATGGATCACGAGTGAATGCTACACTTTCAATAAATATCACGTCAGTATTTATTCGAAATAAATCCAGTTTTTAAAACCAGTGTGTTAAAAATATTTTTGCTTAGTATTTGTTTAATTTTGTCCGGGTTTTTGATGAAAAACATTCAAAGAGAGCGCTCGATAAAAAAAATGTTGCAACTATTGTAACGAATTCCCCGGATCTTAGAAAATACTAAAAAAATTTTATATGTGTAAACATAAATAAATAAAAAATTTTGAGAAAATTAGCATGCCTTTTTATTATTTTTAATAATTTGTTCCGTCATATCATGAATTTACATACAAAATGTCGTTGATGTCGCGATCAATATTTAATGTTTAACGCGCGATCCACGATCCGCGATCCGCATTTCAAAATATTTTATGATATGGCGATCCTGGATCGCGTTTAAATATAATGAAGTCGTCTTCAATTGCATCCCTACAAGCGGATATCTACTAGCAAACGTGTTAGCGACTTGTTATTGTTCACAGAGAGTGGGAAAAAAAGTATCACATCGCCATTTGATGTTCAATAGTTCTTTCGCTCTACCCAATCGTTATTAAGTCATGTAGTTTCGTTCTAAGTTACCTTTTATATGCGTTTGTTATTTTTTGGGTAACAGAATGACATACATTGGTAATCAAATCTGTTTACAGTCTGTTGAAGGTAATAAATTCTTTTGTTAGAGAATAGGTTACCTATGTGTTATCCATAACAGAAGTATTTGTTCCCATAATTTCGGTTAGTGATATCGTTTTGATTAGCAGTTTGTTACCTTTAACATATAAACTTGTTAGCGTATTTGTTATCTATTTGTTAGCTTTAACAAGCATAACTGTTGCCTCGATTTGTTACATAATTTATTACCTATTTGTTTCTTTTAACAAATTCGTATTTTAGCTTATCGGTTACCTTCTTGTTGACATAACCAATTCCAATTTTGTTAAATAAAATTCAATATTTTTTTATATAATTTTTCTTTATTTTATTGAAAAACGTATTTACTTACTATCTTATTACTAACTAATTATTCAAAATTAATGAATATCTTAAATGTGTACACATTGATATATATTATGTTACACATATGTATATAGGTTAAATATAAGTATTAACACTTAAATTGTATACTTAAAGAAGTACATATAACAATATATTATATATACTACAATTATAAAGCTACATGCATACAAAGTATCTGGTTAAATGAGTTTAGCCTCCCTCTACATGTACACACCACTCTATCCGGAAGAAACTGGCGCACCCTACTACACATCACACCTGAGAACACCACCACACTCAGTCACCACACGACGACACGTCATACCGCCAAGCAACAAAACGGATGGTTCCATATCAGAGGATCGACTTTCGTTTGTACACAGTGCCGCGTCAACACTACATTCAATACAGCGCGCTTCCTGCATTCGCTTGCACAATTCGACAGCTAATTTGATTCACAACGCTCCACCAATCGACATAATTATTGTCTACCTTTTATTTTAACGAAATTATAACGAATTATTATAAAACACTGTTCTTATATGACGGAATAAATCAAAACTTATTACTTGTATAAAATATATCGAGATACGGAGCTTTTCTTAAAAATAAAGCGGCTTTAATTATAAATCAGTAGTGTGTGATCCTCCATAAATTGTGTATCTATTTAAACAATATGATTCGGCCCCTTCATCACGATTATACACCATGTTATACATTATTTCTTCGCAGGTTTCTTGCCAAAAACTCGCCTATAAAAGATTTAAGCGCCTGTTTCATTTGTGTAACATGATTTTGTTTAAAATCCTACATATCAGCTATTACAGCATAGGAACTAACATTGGTGCGACGATTCACATC